ATCACGATTCAACAGAAGCTGCGATTGTCATGCGTATCTTTCAGTGAAGCACGGTTCTGTGATCAGCAGTAAATCTCCATCCAAATGCCAGAGGGCGCTCTCGCGCTGAAACTCCAAATACGCCTCGCAGAAGAAACCCAGAAAATGCCTATCGCTGCTTTGGAGTAAAAATGTGTTATTAAATGTGGTATTTTCACATGCTTTCAGATGGAGCAGCATTTACTTCACAGCCGTAGTGCACTGAGAAGCTATGCAAACAGCTGTCATTATCGCGAACGATTTCTTCGATCTGCTGCGATTTTTTTTGCGTAACTTGTCAGTGAACTATGGCTATGTGTAGTAAATTCTGTTCCATCTGAAAGCACGTGATGATGATTTCCTGCTGATTACAGAACCGGCTTTTTTAACAAAATGCGCATGACGATCGCATTTGATTAATCGTGCAGCCCTAATACAAATACAAACATATATTACTTTTACTCTCTGCATATACATTGGATTGATTTTAATAACTTCAGTGTACTTGAATTGTGCACAAAACACCAAACACTAGGAATATACAAGTATCGGACCGGGACTCGATATTAGGGATGGGCGATATCTTATCGTTTGCGATATACCGGTAAAAATTCTCCACACGATAATAATTCGTCTTCCCACCATAATAACGATAAAGTCTAGTTGTTGACATATTTCTGTGTGCGACTGTGTGGAGTGACGTGAAAGGCGGATGTGAAATTGAGCAGCTCCTTCTACAATCTGGAACAGGTTTGGATAGGGCTGTACAGTGAAGCGGATGTGAAATTGAGCAGCTCCTTCTACAATCTGGAACAGGTTTGGATAGGGCTGTACAGTGCGACAAAAATCGGTCTGAGCCTTGAGTAAATGTACTACAGTAGCACGTGTGCAATACAGTTTTACATGTGTATGAGTCGTTTACACACCTGTTGTCCAACAAAGATATTTTAATTTATTGACATGCTTTTTCTCCATATTAACTTCATAACAGTCGAGTGTTTGAAATAACTTATTTTTGTGATCAGACGTGGTTTCGTATCACAGAATAAGGCAGAAATCATACTATTTTATAGCATTATATACAGTGATAAAGGCTATGTCGATTAGCATTGCATTATAAATATACTCTATCCTTATAAAAAATACCCAAGATTGATTGAAGAACACAGATACCATATATTTTGTGCAGTCGCATGTTTACTGTCTTCAGGTGTCCTCAGTTAAAATTTCTCTATCTGCGTTTTATTCAGCTACAGCGATCACTGGATACCTTTGTCCATATTAGGGATTTCCTGGAGCGTTACTTCTACTATGCATATGTGGAGTTTCTGCGCAAGGGCGCCCTCCGGCTTCCAGTATGAATTAAACAGTCATTACATTACGTGTGTACTCAGTAATGCTCACAACACCCTATTTTGGGTAAAAATAGGAAAGATAATACTTTTCTCTAAAGAAACAGGATTCCCTAAATTATCGTCATTGATATCGTTATCGCAATAAATATCAGAAATTATCGTGATACATTTTTAAGCCCATATCGCCCATCCCTACTCGATATTGGCAGATACTCAATATTCAATGACTTGGATCGGATTGGGAGCACAAAAAACCCGATCGGGACATCCCTAGTTATATACATAACAATTGTAATCTGTACTGGAGTCCATATTAACAATATCAAAGACCACTGTTTCAAGAACACATGTTTGAAAACATCTCTGTCACTTAAGTAAACTTGGTGCCCTGAGGTTCCCGAGACCCTTTGCTGATCCTATAGAAACATCCTCTGGTGTGACACCTGTCTGAAGCCTATACAAAATCAAGTCAATTTATTGGCAGATTGTGCTAGCATTGTCGCTTCACTGACCAAGTAGACTGAGGAGTATGGCCGCCTATGCAGCATCTCTTTGCAAATAATATTTTAAAATATGCACACATTCACTCTTATTTGTATGCCCAAAGCCTCGTGCACACTGGGACGATTATTGCGCGCGCTTATCGCCACTGTTTTTCAACTAGCATTGTCGCTTCACTGACCAAGTAGACTGAGGAGTATGGCCGCCTATGCAGCATCTCTTTGCAAATAATATTTTAAAATATGCACACATTCACTCTTATTTGTATGCCCAAGGCCTCGTGCACACTGGGACGATTATCGCGCGCGCTTATCGCCACTGTTTTTCAACGCGTCTTGTGTGTTCATACCCAAGCGATTTTCACTGGCGATGAGCCGTCTTTGTGTTCAGACACCAATGAGACCAGCAGCTCTACATTCATCATGCCTCGATGCTTCTTCTTCGTCTACTTACTTCCTCTTCATTGTTAGGTATCAATGTGTGCTCTGCAAGACGTTTTGTGCTTGAGTGCCACCAAGTCGTGTTTTACGGTAACTTCAGCAGCTCCAGGCACGTGAACAAAAGCACCAATCTAATTGGTTGGGCAGTTTTTAATGTGGCGCGTCAAACCAAAAAAAGGAGCCCGAGGCGTTTTTTTCAAAAATAAAGCTTTTACGCCTGGCGTTTTGCACGCGGGTGTGCACACTCACATTGGCACCCTTTGTTTAGTCACGAGGTATTAAACGTCGGCGATAATCGCGCGCGATATTCGTCCCGGTGTGCACAAGCCTTAATATGTTGAAAAAGCAAAACTTTTCTTGTATCATCACTTTCAGTTAGGAATTACATGAATCATATAAATTATATATAGTCTGTGCTGTCAAATATTGACATCAGCACAGACTAATAAATGTAGTGACATCCATGGTTTAAAAATATAACACCTGGGAACCAGGTGAAGAACTCTGAAACTCTTAAGCTTTGCCCCCCAAAGTGAATCAGATGTGGTGGTGGATAAAACAAAAATAATTCCAAAAGAGATTGGTTCGCAAGCTTCTGAACTTGGACAGAAATCCTCATGTTCAAACTCCATCAGAGACATATTAAACAAGTGATCATGAGAACTTTACGAGGACACAGAGCCACACACTTATAGAATTAGGGATACACCGAAATGAAAATTCTTGGCTGAAGCCGAACAAAATGAAACACTGGGCCGAATACCGAACACGTTTTTTCGCAGTTTTTCCCCCATGTATTTTGGCTAGGGCTGCTCCGATTGATCGGCTACCGATCATTATCGGCCGATAATCACGTTGGGATGATCAATCGGCGGTCTCTAAAAGGCAGATCTCATAAAACCGATCTCAAGCTGATGACGCTCCCGTGAGAGGTTTGGCATGACATGCTGCGGCACCGTCTCAGTCTCTGTCCGGCGCGGGTGAAATAATTATAATGCTGAAGGTGAGGTACTCACCTTCATATTTCTTCATTAAATAACTTACAAAGTAATTTGAAAACCTCGTGTGAGACGTAATTTCACAAACCGCGTGAGTGATTTAACAGATTAAAGCGTTCACAGCATTCACACTGCACACGGCAGTGCGTTCAGGAGCGGTGCGTCTAGTGCAGAGATCGTTTCCGCACCCTAGTCTATTTTTGCTGTTCGAACACGGTTTTTCGAGTTTATTTTCCCCATGTATTTTGCCAATTTTTTTTCACCATTGCATAAATTAAATAGCCAAAATGTGCTTTTTACTATTTTGTCTTGCTTTTCAAAGAATAATCAATAACAAAACAACAATTTAAAAATATTTACCTAACACTGAACATTTTTTAACATTCTAGCAGACATTATACCAACAAAGCACAATTTAACTTAAAATTAATAAGTTAGTAAAATAATATTTTTTGGCCATTTTCGAGACCCCCTTGTAATAACGATTTCAATGCAAAAGGAAAGGCAGTAGAGCTGACTATTACTGTCACTGGTAAGTTTGTGATAACGTAAGAAAAGTAGTTTAAATATTGCTTGCTGAGCAGAAGATAATTATTTTAAAACATTAGAAAATATTGCAGATCCCAATTTGAACACTATGTGTGAATGTTATAATAAATGTATTACAGTTGTTGTAATTATTATTATCATTATTATTGTCTTTTTTATTTTATTTTACAGAACAACAGTAAAATTACAATACTAACATTTTTGAATGTTGATGGAGTTCTTGCTTTTTCTCAGCTTTTATTTTGGCAGAAACTCGAAGGAAGAGTGCTTCTTTTTGTTGACAACAGCAGATTTATAAATGATGTTTGTCACACGTATCGCATTGTCACATGCCTTTAAAAAATAATAAAAATGTTACTGAGCAACTGACGAGTAAGACCGTTTCAGCGCAGATTTTCCTCACGCTTTGGACTTTGTGCGGCGCTGTCAGAATAGATATGCAATTCATGCATGTATTACAAAACATTCTGCAGTTTATTTACTAATCGTTTAAGCCATTTCGCGATTTCAATCATCATACAGTAACCAGCAACAACCATCCCTTCCTTTTCTCATCGGAGAAATGTGATGAAGAACTAAACAGTCTCTCGCTGTAGGTGCTTATAATGATTTTTGCATCTTTCTCTGACAGTTTTAAATATCTCCACACTACCGACATGTTTGCTGCATTAGTGCGCGCCTCTATTTGATTGCGTCACATCATTGTTCGGTACAATTTATTCGGTCTTTTCGCGAACAATTTCGGTTGCCTAACATTCAGTGCATCCCTATACAGAATGCCATTGAATCCAATCAGAACAGTGAAGACAACTTGATGTAAGCCTCTAAATATGAAGAGAAAACTTCTAAAATCCACTAGATGAATAGTTTTTTATAGAAGCGTCTGTGCACGCAGGTCTTTATGGGGTGTCAGTCAAGTGATGCCTCAGTGGGCAGTATCTGAAAATAAATTGGCATGATTCTATACAGGCTTTAGATAATCGTCAAACCAGAGGGTGTCGAAGTGAACCTAGGGAACACCTTTCACACCAACCAAATCAACAAAACTCTGACCTCAAACAGAATTCATTCTACACCAATATCTTTATTTTTATCCATTTAATCAATTTATCAAAAAATGCATTGCAATTTATATATACCTTTGCAGCAGAGGGTCTTTTCTTTGGGTCCCACTGGAGGAGATCTCTCATGAGGTCTAAAGCCTCATTGGTGGCATTGGGGATGAGAGTTTTGAGTGGTGTAGGAACACACTGGGGGAAGCGGAAGTTCATCGCAGCAGCAAGCTGATAACCCTCTGGCCAGTCTGACTGCAGGGGAAAATAGCATTTACTATCAAGCACTTTTTACCCATGACACTAAATACTGTAATAGATAAGAACCAAATCAAATACATCATAAACTGATCAAAGACAATTCATTGTTAAAGTCAAATGTAGAGGGGGATGTACGGGAGATATTTTCTAACAAACGTGAGTACAAAGTTTTCAATAATTTAACTAAGGATGAACAAAGTGCTCTGTTGGATTTAAGAAAAGATAAGACTATTATAGTCAAACCAGCAGATAAGGGTGGTTCCATTGTAGTAATGATTTTTGCTAACTATGACCTAGAAGTAGAAAGACAAATGATAGTGTCTTTTATAAGAAACTGAGTCCTCATCCCAACAATGTTTTTAAGAACAAAATTCAGGAATGCCTACGACAATTTGTGGATGTTGGTGAGATTACAAAACAGGAGTTTGATTTTATGAAGGTTGATTACCCAATTACACCAGTCATCTATATACTTCCCAAAATACATAAAGACCTTACTAATCATCCAGGAAGACCGATTATATCTAGAATTGGGTCTCTTACTGAGAAACTTTCAACATGTGTGGATTTTTTCTTAAAGCCTGTTGTATTTACATTGCTCTCCTTTGCAAAAGACTCTATAGTCATGATAAAAATTTAAAAAACTATTGATTTACCTGATGAAATATTGTTTGTAACATTCGATGTTGAGTCTTTATATACCAACATTCCACACGAAGGAGGGATTGAGGCAATAGAAGTCTTTCTTAGAGACCCATATCAAAATAAAAAAATCCCAGTGTTAATAGCATTAAATCATTAGCTAAAACGGTTGACAAAAATTTATTCAGATACAATGATGATTTCTTTCTTCAGATTAAGGGTACCATGGCTCCAAATTATGTAAATTTGTATGTGGGCCTCTTTGAACAGAAATGTATTTTTGATTGAGTTTTTGTGCTTTTGCCTTTATACACCCCTACAATGGATTTGAAATAAAACAATCAAGATGTGATTGAAGTGCAGACTTTAAAGAGCAGGTCATATGGGTTTTCGAACCTCGTCATTTTACGAGGACTGCTTCTCTAATCTTGCCTTTTATCTTCGTTGGCTTCTAATCTTCTTTATTCGGACCAACAAGCGTCTCCGAACCACAACCTGTAAGTACGATGGACACATTATGTGTACATTTTTAATTGAGTGCTCAAAATATCTAGTTTTTTTTTTTGTGCTAATATGTGATGAATATACCTAGTGCAGCTTTAGGTTTCCAGGTAAAGCACAATATTACTGTTTTACTGAAATAGTTCTGATAATTCGCTGTGAACCCACTATTTCCTAAGAATGTGTCGATTACATAAAGAGACATGCAGGATTCATATTTAAATGGTATTTTTGCAGCTTAATATTTACAGATACCAGTCAATATTGCGATTTGATTTAAGTGTAATGACCTACTTTTGATTTATTCACCCAAACTTTGACCAATTCCGTGACATTCCGCGTTATACAGTAAATTCTATTTTTATGACTGGATTCCGCAATGCCGTCCGCATTTTCCGCATCGCAAAAATCATAGGGCCATAATTAAAATGGGTTCTATTGTCGCGTCGCACTACGAAGCTCGCGTCCAGTGTAGACACGGTGTGAGTTTTTTTTAATGGCTTAGTTTTAGCCCTGCTTGTTTTTAATGTTTTTATTAAATATCTGTATTGATCATATCATCGCATTATTTACTGCCATCTGCCATGCGAGCCACACATTAAAGCTTGGCGAGCCGCACAATGAGTAACGCTACTTGACTTCATCTTAATAAAAAAAAATATATATATATATATTATTTTATTTATTCCTTCCCTTTTCTAGCTTGTACTTATTTGAACAATGCCTAAAACTTA